TATACCTAAAGCTAATCCTACTTACAGCTTATCCGAGGAAGTAGTATAAAGTGTAAAAGGTACACTGTAGTTGTACTTTGGTACGATTGGAAACCAACCAAAGTGTAAACCTTTTACACTTTATACTACTCCCTCGGATAAGCTGTAAGTAGGGTTAGCTTTTATAGGTATAGAAGCGAGTATCGGATGAGCCACAAGTAGGATCATCCCTAGGTGTAGAATGGGCATTAGGTGACAGCTTCACATGGGGATATTTTTAATTGCTCTTTGTTCTTTGTATAAAGTCGTGAACCTCCCGCGTTGTTTTCATGCGTGCTACAATCGTGTGGAAGAATTTTGTAATTTTATAAAGCCAATTTCAAATTGCTCACGAGAAAAAAATTGAAAACTTCAAATACCATGTATAATTTTCATTAGACTTCTGACCCGAGTGTTTTAAGTGTGAAAATGTTCTGCTATTCGGTCCGCAGCTTATCCTGGTACTATTTCGTGCATAAAAGCTAATAAAAATAACATTTACCAGCGCAAAAAGTATATTCGAATGTGTCGGTAAAGCAGCTCGTGACGTAGCTCTTGTCGTAAAACTCGCGCTGGTTGGCTGCAGGGGTTCGATCACGAGTCTTTTCCTCTCCGGCGTAAACTCGTGAAGAGTGAAAATTTTCATTGATGAGCTCAATATATTGGTCGATGCAATTTTTCCACTTTTCACGAGTTTACGCTGGAGGTTGATTGACGCTCGAGCCGCTGCTGAATCGAGCGTTCGCGTCGCGCCGGTCCGCGCGAGCCCATCTGAGTCGAGCATGGTTTACGGCAGTCACACGAGGTGTAAATATGGTCGCTCGCTCTGACAGTTCGCGACACTCGCGATAGGCCACGATGAACAGATTCGAGTACGGTGATTCTCGGTTTATGCCGAACGAGGCTTACGTGAGACGCGACACGGTCGTGCGTCTCTACGATGGCGATACAAAGGTAATGACACCGCGGCTGACAGTATCAATTTCGCTCGGTGGAGCGAAAAGTGTGTGTGTGTGTGTGTGCGCCACGTTTAGATCCTCGCGACTCGTCGCTCTAAGTTTTAAGCCGTAGACTTAAAGATACCGGTACTAAAATAATTTCTTTATTTCGATAGACAAATTTCGAAAATGGTGAATTAATCCTAACTAGTCACAGAGTACTCTGGGGCAGGCCGGGCGACATATCGCGAGGTAACACCTGCTTGTCGCTTTCGCTCAGACATATCGTTTTCTTCGAAGAGGAAAATCCCGGACCGTTCTCCTTCCGTAGCAAGAAGATTGTGCTACACCTCTCCGAGCCTGCCGTTGGTAAGATTTAAGGGTGGAATTGTCTACGAGTCATTTCGACGGTTTATATTTGCCTGTCTGTTTGTAGACAAGATGCCTGGTCCAACGGATAGTAGTTTGTACAATTATGTCAAGTTGTCGTTTAAAGAGGGTCTGGACTCGAATTTTATAACGCAATTGTCCGACACTATTATGAGACGAATGTGGGAATTTGCTCCTGCCACTGGATTAATCGTCCCTGCTGTACGCGATAATCAAGAAAGCGCTAAACTGCTACCTCGTATAAAAACGCGAACGGGCATTATTGGTATCGAGAGAAGTCTACAAGAGAAGCAGAAAGAAACTGACGAGAGTATATCGCTGGCGTTTCAAGATCTTACCAAGCTTATGGATATGGCTAAAGATATGGTGGCCATCTCAAAGACCATTTCGGCTAAAATAAGGGTGATTTTCAATGATTCCTTCGTAAAGCTGACAGGTTGAGGTTCGTAATGCAGGATCATTGCAGGAAAGACAAGGAGATATAACGGAGGATGAGACTGTCAGATTTAAGGCTTACTTAATGAGCTTAGGTATCGACGATCCAGTAACGAGAGACGCGTACAAGAGCAGCAACGAGTACTTTCAACAATTGGCCAAGCAGCTTGCGTGTATATTGGAAGAGCCGATAAAGGTTTGCGGTATATGTATACCGTACATTGCTTACCGAATGTAAAGAGCGGTGAAAAATGTTATTCATTTCAGGAGGTAGGCGGTATGATGACGCTTACAGATGTTTATTGTCGCGCAAACAGGGCCAGAGGTTTGGAGCTTTTATCTCCCGAGGATTTATTGCACGCCAGCAGACAATTGGCGCCCTTAGGTTTACCAATTGTGTTAAGAAGCTTCGATAGCGGCGTTATGGTTCTCCAAATTCGATCTCACGACGATAATGCTGTTGTTGATCGTATAACGGAATTGGTAAGCACTGAATGACGCCATCAATTTGTATAACCCAAATTATTTCACTGTATCTCGGACGTAAAATTTTTTAGTTGAAAGAAAAAGGCTCTATGACGGCCGAAGATCTTGCACAATCCGAAGGTATATCGGTATTGTTGGCACGCGAACGATTGCTAGTCACGGAGAAGCACGGCAAAGCCTGCAGGGACGATTCGATAGAAGCTCTCAGATTCTATCCCAATCTATTTTTAGAAGAAATATCTAGTGAATAATTTTTAACTGTCACGAATGTACGGTTGATTGCCTTTTCAAACTAATGTTGGCCATCGTGTAACACCAACGCTTCAAGGTTTTATATATTTTTTAAGTTTTCATATGTCCAAAATGCAATTAAATTAAACGCTATTAAAATTGAATTATCTTGTAAAATATAAATAATACTTATTTTTAAGCATAATTATTTACTTCTCTGTAAAGTTATAAATATATGTATAATGGTTTTTGAACAAGCGAATATGTTGATATAATGATTATTTCCCTATGAAAATCTCACAAGTGTACGAAAAGGTATCTGTATATTTTTAATAAGTATATTTAAAAAATCAAAGCACCTTTGAAATGCCTACTTTATTGTAAATTATATGAGGTAAAAAATCAGCTTTATATCTACGTTTAATTTCTAATTATTTTTCAAATAATAGGAAATATCGAAACAATACAGAAAGAAATCAATTGAGACAGTGTATAATTTCGCACCATTACTTACATGTTCGTTAAATTATTGAGTAAGGTAAATGCATGCCTCTTAGATTTAACAAAATGAATTGCTCATCTGATGAGATAATGAAATGCAAGGCATTGTCCATTAATCGAAATATATATATATATATTTTTAAATTTATTCATTAAACGAATTGTGTAAATAGAACCGCAACCATGATTAACAATGATTCGTGTACAATTAATAGTACGTAACTTTCCGCATCTATAAGTATGCATACACAGGATGGAAATTATTTTCTAAAATAGTGGGCCAATGCTTTCAAGTACAGTATGGCCTTCGGAAAATTTAGAATTTTTTTTAGATGCAATTCTTTTCACTTTTTAATTTTCGTTAAATATTTGGACACAATTAAGTCTTAAATTTTAATTCTCTTAAAACAATAATTTTTGTTATTTACTTTCGTCATCTACATAATAATATCAAGTCAGCTTTATAATTAATAAGTTATTAAATTATAAGATTGTTGATTAAAAATTATTTTTTAATTATTAGAATTATGAAAAATATTAAATTTTAACGAATTAAAAAAAATTAACTCGGAATTTAAGAATATATCGACAAATTCTGATCCACTATTTCAGAGATACACCCTGTATTAGACATATGTTGTACAGCATACAAATGTTCGCTGTACAACTACTGTTCACCATCGTTAAATTACAATATTTTCCAGTCACAATGCAGTTATGTTTTCGTACAATTAATATAATATAGTACAAGTTGTCGTATAACGATGCATATTATATCTTTCGCGAACATTATCTCGAGCGTACCTGCTGCTTTAAAAACCATTTCATTAGTTATAACATCAAAGTCCACAAGTTATATATTAATAAATAAATAAATTGCGTATATTATACTTTGAATAAAATACCGATTATTCATGTATAACATCTGTGATTATTATGTACATACTATATATTTTGGAAATAACAAAAGATTTACGTGCGCATTTTTACTTAATATTGGCAACGATTAATATCAATTTTATTCAGTTATGCAAATTAATTGCGTAATGATAATCCTGTAAAAATCAACTTCTTTTATTAATTTCGGAATTAAATGGAGGTACGTTCGAGTGCATTTCGAAATGCAATAGGGAAGGCTTGGCAAGATTCATTCTCTAAAAGGTTTCACTTTAATCAACGAGATACGAAGATTAACGCACATACATATACAGGATGGGGTGAATGTGCCCTTATTATATCACAGAGAGGCGTAACAAAAATATAAAATAATTTAAATTTTATAGTATTTTGTATATGTGAATCGTACACACTCATGCAATGGCTACGTGTTTCGTGATTCGTCCCACAAATTATTAACATTATAAATTATTATCATTCATAATAACGATATACTTCAATACCCATCGATACCCACGCATAATATTTCTATAATTTATTATTAATGTATTTAATACGTATTATTAATTCAACACATGGTAGACCTTTTATTTTCCACATAATATGACGTGCATCGAATTACGTCAAATTAATCCGTCTGCTTAATTTTATTAACAGAATTAAACTATTATGATTGATACGCGTAGCGATGCTATTTGTAGTACGAATCACTTTGCACTATTATTGTCATTATCATTCGGTTCACTTTCTCTCTTTCTCCTCTCTTCCATTTTCTCCCTTTTGCGTGGGCACTTTTTACTCTGTGTATTTTATTCTTTCAGTTTCTTCTCCCGCCATTTTCTCTCCATTTTATCGTACTGTCTTCTATCCTGTAATATCTGTGTCTCTTCAGTAACCTTTCTGCCTTTTTTCACTCTTTTATTTATCCCTTCCTCTTTTTAACCACTACGGCTAGCTTCTGACAAAATTAAATTCTGAAAAACGAGATGTAAACTATTAAACACTTTTCATTTTTTTCCCCTGAACTTGTCCTGCGCAAATATGATGTGTCAGGTTCAATTTCAACGTATACACGTATACACGGGACTCCCACAAGATGATGGGTAGCAGTCAAAATGGTAGCTCCAACACTTATCTTTTTATGAGCGAGATACCTTTACATTTTACAATACAATCGATAGAGAGCAATGCGTTTTTGCTGAAATGTTAATTTTAGAGAACAAGGCTGCATTGTTTTTCCAATTATAGCCCTTTTCCGCAATACCGTGTATACGGTGTCTACGCATATCAAACATAGACACTTAACAGTATGCGTTATGCGTACATGTGCATAGACGCGAATCGCGTATAAGTATGAAGAATAAAAGTTTAGTTTTGTGCTGATATACAACAGTGTTAAATGCTAACTTGCTTATCTTGGCTTACATGTATGCATACAGATAATTCGTACGCAATACGTACCATTTATATACAGTGCTTTATCATTAAAGGTACAGTTTAATAAATTATTTATAAATTTTAATTACTAATTGCGCATACGTTTGTACGCGATTCGAAGCTATCTCGAACAAACCATTTCGACCAAGTTGCTTAAAAAGAGCACGATAAGGTTGTCTAAAAGACACAATTACAAATTATGTATAAATAAAAATTCGAGCAAATTTTAGCAGTTTTAGCAAAAATTATCAAAGAATACGTCAACATTAAAGTCAGAATAATCAAATATCACGATATCAAGACGCTTACATGAAGAAATTTACGCTTAAATCGAGAATCTGTGATAATTCTCTGCGTATTCCATTTTCAATAGCATAATTTTCCACTGTTATTAGAGACATCTGTTACTCTTGCCTCTCGCAAAATGCGCATTCTTCAAATCAATCTGTCCATCTAAACTGTCTTCGCGCGAACCACCACGTATATATCGTATATGTATATGTATATCAATGAGGAGAATAAGTATCGTTCGCAAAGAGTGTCTTACAATTACATTTATGGAATTAATGACAAGTGAGCGATATTAGTCCCATTAGTAATTGGCGATAGAAAACTGCGTAAGTTAATAAGTGTGAAGTGGAATAGTTGCTTTCCATGATGAAGAGTGTACGGTATAGATAGTAAAATTTTGTAATGCTTTTGTAACGCTTGTCTTTATATGTATGTATATATATTATACGTACACACCCCCACACACACACACACGCGCGCGCGCACACACACATACACACGTGCACGCGTACGACTTGCCAGTTTTATGTATATGAAGAGGTACAAAAGTTATAGATATAGAATAGGCGTTGAGGTCCAAAAGGCTGTCTAATTCGTGCGGGTTATTTAACGATCCTTTTGTGTGTTTGTTCTTGTTTTAATAGCGATCGTACTCGTACATCGATCGACGATGTCGGAACCGTTTCACACGCTAATGTCCTCGATTGCGCTCTGCAAAGTAAATTTTCTAAAAAAGAAAGAGCATACCTAAGGGAAACTCACACGGGAATTTTTATTCCGCAGAAATAAATTTTTATCACTTTTAAGATTAAAAGTAAATTTTTTGCATACCTTCTTACCTGCATTGTAAATACAACGCTTTGTATTATAGCGAGTCCACATAATTAAATGTCTAAAAATGAGATGAGGAAAAATTTATAAAAGATTTTAAGTTTAAAATTACAACAATTAAATTGCCTAATTCTCTCTATTGGAAGAATAAAAAATAAATATGTAATTTTTCAAGGAATTTCATGACTGAATTAAGCCTGATTGATTCTGAATACATTGCAGAATAATTCCCATCGGTTCCCCATAATCCTTGTTTACAAGGATATTATCTGATATTAATTCTTGGTTATTATTAAAGCCTAATAAACGCTGCACTTAAATTCTTTTCTGTGCTAAATAAATTTAAAAACATTTTCGGAGCGTAAATCGCGAAGGGACAGGCACGCACGTCGCTATGTATGGGTCACTAACAAACAGCAGCGATTCTTTAAGGGGTAATTATATAGAAAGGTCTAGCATCTTCCTTACATGTTAATTTACGGTATCCTTAGGCTAATCTACATTAAACTCTAATGATAGTCAAAACTTGTGACCCTTAGTTTTTAAAAGGCAATGCATTATTCAAAGAATCAACATGTAACATTTATCAGGAAATTATGGCGATTATGTAGGATCGTGTAATATTTTTTACGGATGCAATGAAAACCCGTGTATCTATGGTGCAAGTCTTGTCAGTCTCAAAATAATTCCGACATCATCGAATACTGTAATCAGGCTTTTTATCGCATGAATCGCCTCGTCATTGAATGGATTATAATCAATCGATTGATTAGCATTCGTGAAAAAATACATTCTGCCATCTTCCATCTATGGTGATAAATTGTGCATCAGCTTTGTGTATTAAACGATGATTATTCAATCACGTTTGGCATATACATTAGCATAGAAAAAGCGATTGGTAATATCAAGTGAATTCGAAATTTGATGAATCATCTTAATTCCTAAAAGAGGGGTGAATATTTTTGTAATAGGCGTATTGCACCAATGATAAATAAATGTTTCATGTTTTGCTAACGACTACACGATTGGTTTTACACTTGTATAGCGTTAAGCATTTGTAGTCTCTAGTTTAGTCTAGTTTTGTAGATTAGCTTGTAATCTAATTCTTAAGAGAGAGAAACTTACAGTTAAAATATTCGTAAAAGGGATCCAAAACGAATTAATTGCTTTAAAAGAGTTAATTGCTTAGAAAGAGATATGTAACAGAACACATAAATTTTGCTTCAGTCGGCGTTTCAGTCGGCCGCGTTGAATCCCTTAATAGATCTATCTATCTATTTAGAAGGAAGATTTAATTGCCGCAATTGTTTGCAATTTGCACGATTTTTCAAGTAACAATCTAAATGCAAAATTTGCTCGAACCATTCTAATTGTCCAGATCATGATTTCTGTAAACGATGGTGCGGATCACTTTGGAGCAGTGTTCGTGCTTGATGAATTCAGTATTCGCCTAACTGAATAATTGCGATAATTAGTATTTAGCTCGTGCGATTCAGTAATGTGCATACAATTTCGCTCATAAATTCCGTCATTAACAAGATCGCGCATATTACCACGCGATGGTCCAAACGACCGTTAACAGTAGATAGATTAGAGCGCGCTTGCAATGCGCATCTCTCCACGAGATTTTATTTTATTTTATACAGATATATATATATATGCGTACCCTTCTCAACATTAAATACATCAAAGAAGGGATGCGTCACACAAAATTTTATACGAGAGGATCCGGGATCAAAAGTGATATTTTAGGATTGTTTCGCAAATCGCTGTTCCAGTTACTTTTTTTGAGTGGAACACGGTTCTGTTTCTACTTCCTGAGAGGATGCCACATAGCGACCGGACGCCGCAAGGCCGTTAACATCTGTCTCCAATGAGCCAGCGCTTTTCCCGTCGAGGTAGATCCTACAATAATGTGCCCTACAGAGTACGCCTTTGTACCTTGATCTCCGTTCAATTCCGCCACCGTCAATCTCAGCTGGATAGTCTGAGAAAAGATAATCGTTTTGCGATAAGAACATTCCCATAAGATCGAGAATTATATCATTCGTAAAGAAATTTCGTAAGAAAATCTCTCTGCCAAAGTGAATGTTATTGAAGCAAGTATCACCGACTCGGTTAGCTTTAACGAAATTAAACCATGTCCTTATTACGATTGTTGTTATTGAGAAAAATGGAAATTGATCAAAACCTGTAAAGCGTGCGCTGGCACACTGAATATTATTGCCTCGTTGAAGATCGGACTTTTCTCGCCTTTCTTCACGGATGTCTTCTTCTTATGCATCTTTTTCCCTTGCTGAAGTAGGTATACCTTAGTGAGAAAAATATTTTAACATTTTCTTGAAAAATTACATTTATCAAAGTGTAGTATAGAAGAGGTTCAATTACCTTGACGAAGAAATCACCCGGAGATAAATTTACGCCGTGCAAGTTGCGCGCTTTAACTACTACGAGGGTGAGTCTCTCCGCCGTAGGCAAGTAACTAAGAGAGAACATCAACTCTCCTAGATGTGGAGTGGGTAAGGCAGGTCCACTGAGTGCTAGCCAAGTTGTAGCAGGTGGTCTCGCTGCAGGTCCGAGCTTCAAACTGGCTTCACCGATTAAGGATGCGCCGCCGCCAATGTTAGATTCATCAGAAAATACCTGAATAATAAACAAAATTATTACCCAAGGAAAATGAAAAGTCAACATGATGTCAATTTCATGTCATATTGACCAAACTTATGTCATATTTTCGTCAATATGACATCAAATTGATCGTCATCTGGACTTTTCAGTTTTCCTTGGGTTATTTTCATACCTCAAATTGTGCATTCATGTATCTACAGTTTAACATTCCATATAGAAAAATTAATTAATTTTTATTTGATATATTATTTATATTTAACACGTATCAAATAGAAACTAGAGGCGGAAAGAAATCAATAGCAAAGACTACCTCGACAAGAAGTGCTTTGCCTGTTGGTCCGCCATCGAGAGGAAATAAAAATTTCTCCTGATAACTAGGCGATGGACATCCCCTGTAAATTCTCGTTTGCACATGAGTCTGCCTGTCGGGTAGTAGACACACTCTACGAAGAAAAAATTATCTTTGAGTATATCTATACTAAGAATTTCGTTAATTATTAATTAGTTGTATGATTTAAATGATTTTTTCTTTTTAAAAGAATTTGTAATTCTATTAAAAGAATTATAAATTCACTGGACATTAACTTATCATGAAAAAAATGTCCTGCACGGGAGTAATAAAACTTCCTACGTATTACATGATAGAGTCTATATATAAGATTCTCGAGATATATTTATCTCTAATGTGACATTCTATTTTTACTAAATAATACACGATACTAGTGGGCAAAGATGACATTTACCTGACGAAAGTATCTTGCGCAGGAGAGCCGTCGGCAGCAACGAGATCCCTGGCTTCCAAGACACTTACGGCCAGATCGCCTTCGCAATCGCTTCCGCGACCACCCCATCTCTCATGTTCGAGTCCGACACAGATGTGGCCTACGATAGGCGCCTCTTCCAAATCGTTCAGGTTGATGCTGGTATCGGAACATACGCTCTCGCAGCTAATCGCTCTTTTTAAAGTGGATTCGTCGGGCGGCGGTTCCGGCTCGGGTCCTAGCGAACTTCGTCGATTTCCCGATCTGATGTTACTGTGATCGTTTATCGCGTAACTCAGGTACGACTCTTCCAGACTCTGAAAATTATAAACAAATGTTCTTTGCATTGTCCATGAAATGATTTCTTACGCTTTTAAAATATGTATTATTACCTGTGAAAGTCGTCTCTTCAATTGCACCTCCTCCAAGGCGGCATAGAGTTCCTGGCTATTTCTTCTCCTGCAAAAACAAATTGTGTAAACGCACATAACGTGCACGTTCTGATCTTGTAACAACGAAAGTAATTTAGAGAACATTATATAATTTTGTATCGTAAAGTCCATACCTCGAGGGGTCGGCAGCATCAAGTTCTATATATTCGTGAATACCATTCAGTCTTTCTATACTTTTACGTCTTTGTTCGAGGCTGTTAAAAATATCCTGAAAAATAATTTTAATGTAAGGAATCAAGATATGTTACTACCAAATATTTCTTACAATATGCGAAAACAGTTTTAAAGGGTACGCACCTCTGACGTTCGAGTAAAACTGGGATCTGATAAATACGTATAAGACTCGTGATTGTGATCTTTAAGCAATAAGGGAGACGACGGTGGGTCTTGTAGACTATTGTACACCTATAAGCAAGACAGACAAAGTTAATAACAAGGTTAATGAACAATAAGTTATTATTAATGTTACACGAAGTAAAAAGAGCGTGAAAATCAATTAGTACTTCTTGCGCTGTCCTATGAGCTTCGAGGTTTAATTCAGGGCTATAAAGATCAGAACTCCGTCTCGAACCGTCGAGACCAGTCAGGTCTGGATCGGTTTCCGCATAAATATCTCGCATATCTTGCAAGTATTCGGCGTCCTGTAAAGGATCTTCAGTACTATCATTCACGAACGGTGGTGGTGTCGATGGAAACGCAAGTCGTTGTACTTGCTGCGCCGAGGACAGTACCGAACTAGGGACAAAGAAATGTACTTGCTATAATTTCATGTAAAAGATATAGCTCTGTTTGATAATAAAATATTGAAAATTTATCTGCTTTGTCAACTTTTAGTAACTCACTTATAAAACTCCGAGGCATCTATGTAGCTCTGTGAGGTGACTGATCTGAGCGCGCTGAAGATTCTCTCGCCGGTTGTCGGGCTCTTTTTCGTCATCTCTTGAGATGGATCCGGCGGTGCCGGTGGCGGTGGTATCGGACTCAAAGCAGACTCACTCGCGATTTTCGTCTCGTCTACGATCGATTCTTGAATTGCGTTTACGAACAGTATCGATTCACGACTTGAGCGTGTCTGCAGCTCGTTCATGGGTTCGTAGACAGGTAGGTCAGGCAAGCTCTGAATGTATTGCGAGACTCGCTGAAGATCATGCGACTTGGACAGATCGCCGTGAAACAAGTATGAATCGATATCTTCTTGATGGCCGGAAGTACTCTTGAACGGAGTCATCTCGATGTTCTGCATATCGTTATTCTTTCGATTGAGGTCTCCATTCAGCTCCTCGCTGTTCTGAAGCATCTTGGAAATGGTCTGTGGCCCGTATATCGACTCCATGATCATCTGGTTAGCTGCGTTCTGGTTAACTGAATTCGTCATATTGAAGTTATCCGGAAATCCTCTGGATTCATTCCTCGCGTATGGTCGCGCGACATGATTTCTCTGAACGATCTCGTAGTTGCCGTAACTTCTACTGATATCTTCATCGTTCAACTTGTCATGATGGTTATTTAGGGGTTCGCTTATACCGTATCTGAGCCACGCCGACTCTTTGGAAGGAGGCTCGAATTGCCTGTAAAGTCGACGTAAAGAAATGAAACGTAAGCTGCTTTATAGTTTTAGCTTTGTCACCTAAATAAATTAGTATATATTAAAGTTGAAGTCTGCGAGGAAAAGATCGTTTATCTGCGAGGAAAAGCTTCTATATTACCTGGTTAATCTAGAATCTACATGGTTTTGACTGGAGTAAGGTGTCATTTGAATATTCTCCGCTATCGTTTTCGCGGGACCATTGTCGAATATGAAGGTAGAACGTTCGATCGACTGGAAGGGGTCGTGATTCTTTGGCGGTTCGCTCTGAAAGAGAAACACGGACGGACCGGGGGCTCTCGATCGTATCGATCCTCTTTGCAACGACGGCGGCGGCGTCAACGGACCCGGACCGACTTCGTGCATTCTAATATAGTCGACGGTACTCGACGTCTGAAGCGGCGACGGCCTCGGACGAGCGGTCGGTCGTGGTTGAGGAGCAGGCCTCAGTGGTTGAGGTGGTATCGTGCTGCCGCCGAGAGGTGGATGTAGATCCCTGTCGACAGCCTCAAATCTGTATAACAGTATGAGGGTGTAATGTATCCTTCTATATGTGTAACAATATCAAATATATTTTTATTTCATTTAACTCAATGTTATTTCATTACAAAAGATATTAAATTATATTAAGATAAGATGCACAATCTAGAGATTCAAGCTTTTTCTTTCTTTTAGAAATTTCATTATCATTGAAACTATAGTAGTCTCAGTCTCAGTTACTTATACTCATAATATGTAGAGACTGTCGTGTCACAATTTGATTCGATTAATTTGATTAATCGTATATATAAATATTGTAAAATCATAATTATTCAATTGATCGCATACCTGGTAAAGGCTCCTTGCGCATCTAGCCGGAGGTCGCTATCGCTATGCAAGAGATGTTGAGAGGCATTTCCAGTCTGGCGATATAGGCCTGGTATTGTCTGGGCGGTCGGATGCTGAGCCTTTACCAATCCCACCTTTAAATAGTGCCATAATTGGACATATATTAAAATAATAATATAAGGCTACAATGGTATGAGATTACAAAAGATAATTGTAATATTTATAATTAACGGTTATAGCAATGATATAATTGTAGGATTGCAGAAAATTTGTTTAAAGTTTCTAGATAAAATTGAACAATTTTTAATCAAACAAATTTTTTAATAAAACGAAAAATACGTTATTATCGTAAATCTTTTAGGTAATAACTGCAAATTTTCAAGTAATAAAACTTTGATAAAATCTAAATGTAACTAGCATTTTGAAATACATTACCTTTTCTTCCCGTGGTGCCCAAAGCCAGGAAAGCCTCTGTCTCCATTCCTCGCAAACGCTCCATACATTCCTCGTGCCAAATTGCCATCCGATGCAATATCTGTGGGATTGACGCGACTACAGAAGCTAAACGCTAATTATATATATGTATATTACAAATCATGAAATCATTTATTTGAAATTATAATTTGGAAATATCGGATATAGTTTCAAACAACAAAATGAAATAAGCTGTAAGGATCTGCCATTATGAATTTTGTAATTCTGATCTCATATGTGTAATCAGCAACCTGAAAAACTTCCGAATAACGAAATCCAGACAAATCAATTGCATTTCTTGCAATTTCCACTCTTTACATTGGATCCGTCATCTTGGATTTTACAATTTTTAAATTTTGACTTTAGATCAGAAATCAGTGATTTCAAAAACCTCCAAGTACCTAGTTTCGGAATATCGTTTATAGGAATTTTATTACTACAAGATATTTTATAGAAAATAACATTTTTTAATTAAAACTTTAACTTTGAGCTGCTATATTTAGTTAATCGTCGATAATTTTAGAATTTCGACTTTAAATATAGAATTAGCGAATCAAAATCCTTCTAGATACGAAGTAGTAAAGACATCGGAGTGAAAGAAGTGTTAGTTTTTTAATTTCGGGAGGTGTGACATGTACTCGTATGTCACACTGTGCCCCTCAAAGAGTTATAGAGAGATAAGTAAATTACTTGTTTAATTTCTCTGTATATATTCTATTTTGTTGTACAGAATACTCTTATTAACGTAGTATGTATTTTAAACACAAATTCAAGTTTTTAACATTAAATTATTTTATTTGTCTTCTTACACATTTTTAACCGCGTTTGTTATACTATATGTTGTTCTTTAGAATAATCTAATCACTTCCCAAGAACATGTTGATTCTTTATACATTTGCTAAATTGTTATAAAACGTAAGATACGTGTAAGATACATCTTACAATGAAACGTATGTGAATCACCATGTGCTATCCGAGTTACATGCTTACAGTAATTCTGCATTATTAAAAACTCACAGTTAGTTTTCATTGTTCTTATAATACACTTCTGGACGAAACAAAGGTTTGACTTATTATTTCGAGGAAGACTGGATCAAGCTTGTGCTTGGACAAATTTCAAATTAGTAGGGTAATAATTGTTCGTTGAATGACGCTTTCACCTGTTGCAGGCATTAACGCGTTTATCAGTTTCTAAAGACTTGCCATTATACTTTTACACCAAAGAAGATTACGGACAAAGAAGAGATTATCAAAGAAAAATTGAGGATTAAGGATGGCATTCATTTCAGTTGCTTTTTGTGACCTGGAAATTTCTTGGTTACATATATTCAGTACGATATATGTGTGTGCACGTACAAATATTTCTTAAAAAAACTGAATGTGATTCTTAATTTGAATAAAAAGTTTTTATTTCATTTTATTTTAATTAGTTGGTTGGATTAGTTTGCGATAATATTTGATATTTTTATATTAAAATTATTATTGTTACCTTTTGCAAAGAACAAGTGTGGCTCCAGCTGCGATGACGATGACCAAAGCTACTCCGAGTCCGGTAAGAGCCCAACCCATGGCTAAATCCGAAGAATGCTGTGAGATTGTGAAACCTGAAACACACAAATTTACAGCATTGAATTTTAATTGGATTACTCAAATAAAACAATAATCGAAACGTGTTTATCTTTGATCATTATTTAACTGATACGCAATCGTGAATATAAAGATATTTGACCTTTATTGGTAACTAATATTACAATAATATAAAAACATATGTCGGCATTGTAATATAAATTTTTTACATACACAAACTTTTAATAAATAATAAAAATTTATTTCAGAATAATTCTCTGTTTCTTTTCAGTGAAAATACTTAAGTGATTTTAATAATGAATACATAGAATACACAGAATACTGCGATCGATAAAATTGTAAATTTAAAAGAAAACTCTCACGTTCCAGTACAAGCGGAAATGTAGAGAGGCCACGTGCCAACGAAGTAACACTTTTACTTTTGTTTCTTTGATACTCTTTCTGTTAGCGGAAACAATGGTGGCAATTAGCGGTAAGATTTCAGTGTAATTGAAAAGGAAACAAAAGAAATTTTTAAGTACATTTATTCAATGGTTGGTTTCTCCTTCATCTTTTGTGCAAAACAAAATGTAAAGAAGAGATTGCAGAAGTATATTTCGAATTTATCTTTACTTTAAATAGAAATTGATTATTTCTTGCTTACAACAGAGATATAGGACACTTTCCGAAATTATAATTTCAATTATTTTAGCTACAATTTTATAAATAATATATCTTTAATATTATTATGCATATAAAAATATTTTTATTGTTGTTTTGATTTGTAAGAAAGCGAGACACGCTTATGAAACAAAGATTCGGTAACAATAATCAAAAGAAGTGGGTCAGCCAAGAGCTGAACTACTTCTGGTTACATTTGTGTCATTGTGTCAAGGTAACCGAGATTGCTAAAATCTTGCGATTTTAGTACTGCAGATATTATTCGCTTAATTCAAATATATAAAAGCTTAATTGGATATTATCATTTTTATAACTAGAGTATTGGACATAAATAAAGAATAAAAAGTAAATATAAAAATTAGAAACGTCTCGATTTTTCATTCTATCCAATTAATATTCCATTCAATACACTTAAGAGTCATTTAAAATCGTTTTACCAAGATTTCACGTCAAGTGCATCGTACACACTAGTCTGCTCATTATTACCAATAGTTGGAAAGTTTCAGAATCAAACTTAGCGAGTTGTCATGAATAATTCACACGTATAAACCATTCGTTACAAGTTTGTTACCTTGAAAGTTTTTACTCATGACGCACGTAAACTGGATTAATGATCTTTATAGCTTGCTAACTTTTCGTTCAAACATATATATTGAATATGTTTATCATCAACTATTGTGTAAATATAATCCATTATTTCTTTTATTCAATTATTTATAAATAATAGATTTGCACACAATAATTTACACATACGTGCATCAAACAATAAGCAACACTTGATAGAATCCAATAGCTGATAATGTGTAGCTGCTAATGCCACACACACACAGCGGTACCTCGATGTTCACTTTTAAGTAAAATCTGATAAGCTTTGAACTTTTTGTTGTCTAGTCCATATTTATGAGGTATTGTGAATGCAGTTGTGCAGAACTGCAAAGTGCGATGTGCTGTACCCAGCTTCTAATTTAAACCTAGTTAACAAATCCGTAACATGTTTGATGATACATTATTTTCGAAGTAGTTGTGACATTATACGTAACTTTTGCTAACGAGACTTACACTTGTACATTCATATATAGGCTTTGACATTCTTTAAAATCTTCAGTATCTAACTATGGAATTAATATATTGGCTATAACAAGAGTGAACAAATTCAATATGCACCTCCTTATTACATTGTGCAAATATTTTTTACATACCTATATCTTTTAATAGCCAAATCTGATTCGAATTTTTATCACAGAAAGTAAAAAATGGTATATCAAAAGAGAGAGAGAGAGAGAGAGAGAGAGAGAGAGAGAGAGAGAGAGAGAGAGAGAGAGAGAGAGACGGACGAAAGGCGATAGAAAGTAAAATATTGAACTCTATAGTGAAGTATTTCCGTCCGCGCATGCATCAGAAAGTGCCTGAAGGGAAATAGAGGTATAGATTAAATATTTACTGGGCATTTGACTAGTACGCTCTCGTTTCAAATCAAATATCCTTCTATAAAATAATTTTTTTATTAACCCTATCGGACTTGAGTAATCGTCGTTTAATTCTGTCTACGTAAAAAAAAAGTTTTGAGAGGAAATATTGTGAACAATTTAGTATTTTAATAATTTTTTACAAATTATGCAAATAATTAATTGCTGCTCCGTTGAGATAAAAATATCTTACAATTAGCTTTAGTCTTAAGAATAATTTATTTCTCCATTATTCCTGTACATTTTTGAGAAATATTACTTCAAGTGCTATTTTTAGAAGCATAAATTATTACATTTCTTCGTCTCAATTTTAACACCAGATTCTTTCATAAAGTTGATGCAGATTCTTATCTCAGGGAAAATATGGAGAAACCGATAATTCCGTAGTTACAAGCGATAGAAGATGAAGCATTTTCAACGAATTTCAACAAAGTCTCAAGCAGCAAGCAAGTAGCAAAACCATCTTCTTTAGTTAACTTTATAGATATTTTACTTTAAGAGAATTTTAATTTAAAGTTTAGTTATATCAAGAAATAAAAAATTGAAGATTGAGGTAAATAGTGCTCTTTCCCTTGACATTTTCGTTAAGGAAAGGTTCACCTTAGGTATGTCAGAGGATCTGTAAAACTAAAGTTGCGAATTATAGAAAATCCGGTAATTGTGCATAAAAGCGACTTCCTCTCCGATTCGCTTGATTTTTAAATGTTGTTGGGGATGTCTTCCCGAGTAATTTAATATATTTATATAAGGGTCGGACTCAAATAGTTTCGGAGATACAGGCTGAAAACGG